GCGGTCGAACGTTGACTCACAACAAAATGAGAGAACCTCCAACGCCAGGGAGTCGCCATTGCAAATACCAAATGATTTCGCCAGACGAATTGTCGACTACTTTATTCCAAGATGACGTTGACAACTCCTCACGAAAAAGTGACAAAAAATTTCCACGTGTGTTGGATCCTCTGGACCTCTCGTCGAGAAGAAGGAACCAAAAAACAAGCGAAGTATTGACTGCATCTTCAATTTCTTATACAACAAGCCCAGAACCCATTCGAAGAAGACCATTTGACTCGTTTGTCCCTCACCTAAACCTTCAAAATTGTGAATCAACAGATCGTTCTTTAATATCAACAAATCGAGAAGAAGCCGTACGAGAAGAACACGATAAAGACTTGAATATTGATGAACTCGTGGAGACTTTATCGAACATTTCCTTGAAGCCAGACAAAAAAGATGGTAGAGAATGGAAATTTCTAGCCAAATCTGTGCCTGTGTCTTCGCGAAATTACAAATTTCACTCCAGAAGAGAAGCAGAACTAGCTCTAGAGCTTGTTCAAGATGAAAAGGATGATAGGGCTTCAAGAACATTCCGAATCGACAAAGAGAAGTTTCCAATGTCAAAGGCAAAAGTCAAGTCATATTACAAGGGTTCTGATTCGGAGCAGCTACCATGGGACTTGAAGCCGACGAATGCTGCGACGGATCTTCTCTCGAGGAACTCAGAAAGCCTGATTTGTCCCTTCAGCTCTCATTCTAACGCATCGACTCAGGTCAACATGAGGCCTTCTCCTTCGAGTCTCCAGAACTTTAACCATGCAGAACTGCCAAAGAAGAGTCAAGATCGGTTCCCTTTTACAATCTCCGAGACTTCTACTCTATCCCCTCAACATCATTGCCAGAATTATCATCATCTTCCTCTCAATGATGTCATCAAAAATCCAAATTTTCACGTATCAATTGCAGAAGTGGTTTACGAGAACAAGAACTGTAAATACAGCTCTTCAAGTGATAGCACTTCTCATTCTATTGACACATGTATGAGCCCCTCGAAGATGATATCTTGTGATTCGAAGTCCTTGAGAAGTTCTGAGCAAGATGGCAAGTGGGTCCAAGGTGTCTCTTTCATACCAGCAGATGGTAACAACCGCTCACAGGATCGATATTCCATATTTTTTGTTAAGGATGCACAAGTGGAAAGCTTTTTTCCAGGAAGCAACGAGAATCCTTTACCATGTGTACATAAAAAACCCTGTCAATATGCTGAAGAATCCAATTTTTCTGAAAAACCTTCACGATCTCGATCTGTAGAATTTGAAGATGCAGATGATAATTTTGTGCAGGAATGCTTTTGCCTACGATTCTGTAATTTATTTCATAAGAGATCGGTGATGATGAGCAAAGAATGAAAAACTAATTGCTCAATCAATTTGATGGGGTGCAGTACTACGATGCTGCTGGGATCACTCGAACCCCAAGAACTGCGCCTCTACTTTAGTCAATCCTCTGGATCCTCCTGGATCAGACTTTCATAAATAATATTCACGACTCCGTTGTGAGATTTGGAAGTAGATCTGGGTGCTGATCGAGAGCAAATATCTTTATCTGACTCTGCAATTTATTATATGAGAGATCCAAAATGATGAGCACAAAATGAACACCAAAGTGTCACGCCATGTTATTTATTCGTCTCGTCTCCATACATGGCTATTGTATTTTCCTGATATTTGTTTTTTATTCGTTAATCGCATTTCTCATTAACACTGTTTATCACTTAACTATTTTCGCACCTATGAGCTCGTTTGTCAATTTTAGTCTATTATAAGTAAAAGTCCGGCAATTGTATTTCTGTCATATTTCTTCTCCTCGATTTTGCATCTTTTATTTTTTCATTTCAATAAACTGTTTCTCATGGACTAACGCGTTACTGTCTTATAATTACAGTTTTATTGTTGTTTCGTTAATTAATTGTTAAGATTACTTCATTATAGAAAAAATAAGTCTTCAAATAATCACATAAGAGTCATCGAGCATTTCTCATTGTTCTCGCTATTTATCTGACAGGCTGATGAGAGGGAGAGGGTCAAGAGGAATCGCATTGATTTTTATTAATTCTCTGATTTAATCCAGAGGATGCGCGATGTTGAAAATAGAGAAATTATTGTAATGCGCAGTTTATTTTCCTTGTCCTAGGAGATTCAGTCCATTGCGCAAATGTAAGGATAATGGGAGAATATGATTCGTCAACACCTGCCCGCGATGCTCAAATAATTTTCCATTATTTTTAGAATCAATTCGATGTTTGGAATAATTAAAATGGATAAAAAAAAATTATTTGTGGGAATATCTTTGGAATGAGAGGGCTAGATTTTCCTGAACCTAATTTTCTCTTGAGGCATTAAAAACTCGCGCTTCAAAGATATTCCCGAAATGATGTGCAGAAAATTTTTCACTTTTAATGACATCGGTTCATTGTAAATAAATGAAAAAGTTAATTATTTCAGGTGAAAAATTTTCCTGCAAAACTTGACGACTTCATTACAATGCAAGGAACGTTGAGGCAAATGTTTGATGAATTAGCATTCGGGAATTATTTTTCCAGTCCCAATGTCATTTAATAAAATTACACCATAAGACCAACGTCTAAATGAACAAATAAAAAATTCATAATTAAATTTAAAGTGTCAGTTTGACGAGGGGTTATTCCGACTCAATGTTGTTTTATTTTTTATATAGCAGCTATCAGTCAAAATTATTTTTTAAAAAATCGCCTGTGATACCCCAAGACCTTCAGAATTATCACATATTTTTTTATTGTTTTGTTATGTAACAATGATCGGCAAAAGATTTGTAATAAAATGCCCTTGCGCTATACATTCGGGATTTTTTCATACAGACCTTTTTGCGCTCGTTTTTACATGGGAAAACGTGGCGAAAATATCCGATAAATTTCGAAGGTCCAAGGGTATTCGAGAGATGATCAATTTGATATCGATTTTAGCCAGTCAGAGTTCCGTTTTCGAAAAATGTATAGGATGGAAAGGTTCATTCAAGACTCATGTTTATTCATGTCATGACTTAACACGTTTTCTATTTAAAAAAATCGATTTCCTAAATCGAGCTTTCTCGAAATTGATTTTGCAATTAATTTGCAATTATCCTGTCATGCAGAATAGACGAAATCGAAATGATCTAAAATCAAAGTAAATTAAGTTAAATTTGTGGAAAGAATCGAGAGACCAGAGGGAAATGATCGTTTTGTTAATTTCTGCCTAGCCGGGGAGATGAACAGATTTAAACATAACACGTGGTCGAGAGTACTGCACTCTGATTAGCTAATATCAAAATGTAAAAAACAATCAGTTGAAAATCTCTTGGTCCTACAATTGTTTCTGCAATTCTATTGACTGACGTAGGGGTTGAAAAAATAATCAACTAATCTCCAAGAATTGCCACGATTCTAGCGTATTTGATGGTCTGATTTTTGTATGATATTTGAAATGAAGGATGGTAATAAATGAAATGAAAAATGAATGAATCAATTGATTGTTTAATCCACCGTGACACCGCAAGATCATTACGCAAATAAGCAAAATGCATTCAGTTGCTTTTACGTTAGATCAATTATTCGGATTTTCCCGCATTCACGTATAATAATTACACATCCATATTTATACACATACATAATAATAACTATATGTCCGATTTATACAACTTTTTTACGACCACACGTTTAAACACACCTTTAATGCCTTCGTTTCTCTATATCACAATGAATTACCTTTTTCCATTTATTTTTTTTCTTCGTACTTAAAAAACGATTGGCAACTCTTATTTCATTCTTTTTTTTTTCACTATTAACGTTCCGGTAGCTAGAAAAATATAGAATTTGCTCGTTCTACCTAACTTCGAGAGAAACTAAACGTCGAAGATGCGATTGGGGGAGGGGACGAGGAGAGGGAAGTATAGTAGACCTTTGTGACATTTTTCTCTTTTAATTCATTGAATTATTTGCTTTCCATTTCAGCAAATGGATTTGGCTAAAGCTTTTCAAGGTGTCTCGGTGTTTTATATGATTTATACGAGTTAATAACTATTATTTTTCCTTTATTTTGCTATGATGTCTGTCCGCGAGCAGGACGGAGTAGTTAGAGGGATAGTGCAACGAGTCAAAGGAATTGTTTTTTTTTTTGGTAAGTTTGAACATATCTCGAGAGGAAATTCTTGGGAAATGTCACACCAACGTTTATCTATTTATTCATTCCTGGGTAAATAATGTCCTCCGACATTCTCTCGTCAATCCCCTCATTATCGAGATTATTTTATATTCAACACGATATAATTGACTCGTCACGACCTTTCATGAAAATTACAATGAGAAACAAAAATTTATTTGAAAATGAAATTCATAATGGACGACGCGTGATCGACGGAACGAGGCACTCTAGATTTATTGAGGAAAAGATCTGACGAGGTGGGGGATTAAAATTCGACGAGCGTATTATTATCGATGATTTTACGATATACGTCGAACCTCGTTTTGGGATTCAGGGGGAAGAAATACTGATGTAAATTGTCTCATTTCTTCTCGATTCCGTTATCAATGCTATCGTCAACGTGATCCTCGTCTTCCTCGTCGTTATTACTGTCATCATTGATTTTAATCGTACGATGTCACAATGGCGGTGGAATTGAAAATTCACGTCGCACGTAAAACAGAATGTAGGGCTTGCACTTGGCGACAGATTCGGTGCTTGCTGGACGTACACTACTGTCGTTGAAGTGGAACCATTGACCGTCGTGGACGGCAAAGGCAGTGTAATGTCCAGTCCCAGCTCTGAAATTGAGGAAATGATGATGCTATTAGTTTATGAAAATTACTTTTTAAAATTAAAGTGATTATTTTTCCAATCCTAACGTTAACCAATACAATTGCGTCATTTCACTGCACGGTTTCAAATCTATAATTTTTTGATATTTTTATCCGATGATGTTGCAGGTCTTGGAGTATTATAGATGATAATTTTTTGATAATTTTGTCCCGCAGTTGTTATGTAAAGAACTAGAACTACTAAGATGTAGTCGAAGTAACCGTTTGTCAAATTGACACTTTAAATTGAATTGTGGATTTTTCATTTCTTAATTGAGAGATTCGTCTCATGATGTAAATCTATTAACAGCCGTTTTGAATTAGAAAAATAATCCCTGGAATATCACAGGAGCTTCCAAAATTCATGAAACATTTCCCCGAAGGTACGTCGCACACAAATGAAGTCGTTAAATTTTTCGCGATCAATTTTTCAACCTGAACAATTTGACTCATTCATTAGTTTACAAACCAATCGCGAAATATCCGACAATCCTGTGGCTTTTGTAGTATTACGAGTAATTTTTTTTCTCCCGGAAATTTCAATCAATTCAATTGAGCAGAATATATTGAAATCAGATATTGACGTTTTTCTGCTAACTATTTTCACCGGAATCAATGGGCTCTAAATAAAGAAGTGCGTGAATAACTTCGTTAAATCTCGCGATTCCAGAGATATTCACAAAAGAATGAGAGAATTTCAGAGCTTCACACTAGACAGGCATTCTCCATTCAAAACAAGAGATGAAACTGTTGCAGAATAAATGCATTTTGGCCTGAAATTATTCGAATGAAGTAGTGAATAATGTTATAAAGAAAAATTCCCAAGATTTAAACCGAATTAGAATACCCTGATCCATGATGAACAATGACAGCTGCAAGATCATAAAGATGACCATTCTGTGGCCCCATTTTACCCCCAGCGGAGCCTCGAACGGTGTACATTGACATGTCAAGTGATTCCATTGGAAAATCCACCTGGGTGTCGACTTTGGAGCGATAGGAATTGCACCATCTAAATCTTTTTATGTGAAGGCACAACACCTGGAAGAGAAAAACGATATGGTGAAATTGCAGGACGTCTCGCGCTCTATTCGCGCCAGCTATTGTTTTTTTTTTTGTTATTTTATTTAGAATTGAGAAGATGAGTGGCGAACAACTAACGTTAGGCAGCCTGTGTATCCAGAATCTCTTGGTGGAGCGTTGCTTTCCCCGGCAGTTGTCACAGAAGTACAGCTCACTATCGGCAAGTTCCTCAACCTTGAAGAAACGAGATAGACTAAAGGTCAGACTGCAAACTTCCTCCTGCTCCTTGGTTGCATTTCTACGTTGAAGTTTGTCAGGAATGTCCAATGAGAGATCTTGAAATGGCTCGTGAGTCTTGGAATCTGTTCGGCAGTTCATACAGTGAACCTTCGGCACAGAAAAAACAAATGGATAATGCGATTGCTTTTGAAAAAAAATTATAATATTCGTATAATAATATTTAGATAAACAAAAAAGCTCGTTCAATCTTCCATAAAAAAATTAAACTTCATTAACTGAACTCAATCTATTAGTTGTGTACTTTCATACCTGAAGACTGCACGGAATATATTGTTATAGATTTTGTTTATCGAATCCAATTTTTTACATGTGCCCTGATATGACGATTAGTCCCACAAAAATTTCATCAGGTACATTTGAGTGGAGAATTACGGAAACGTATGTCGTTTGATGGATAAATGATACATACCACACTCAGTAGTGTACCACCAAAAACAGCAGTGACAATACTCTGTTTACCCCTAAGCCCCAGTGGTTCATGACCCAGTCTTGGCAGTAGCTGGAGAAGCTCAGTATGAAGCCTATCAAGCATATAAGTCAGAAATTCATGAGCGTCTTGTTGCTGGTAGCCCCTAAAACGTGGCACCACTTTCCATATTACGAGGAAAAGACATTCGGGGGATATGGCCTGGCCATTTGAACCACCTAGACTCAAACTAAGAAGTACCTGCAACAATCAACCAATTCAATTACTCAAATTATCTGGAGTCCACTTGAATTGTGTCGGGAATTATCGGCTTTAAAATAGGCTGTGGAAAATTTTTTTATTCGATAGAAATTAGCCAGCCATCAATTTCAGAACCAAGTAAAATATGAAATTTTACAGAAAGTCATTCATCGTGTTATTTATTCGTTTATTCATTAATTGGAAAAAAAAACTGTTGCACTTATAGCGTGAAAAATAAATTTGTACATGGCACTTTTGTCCTTCAGGTAAAATACTTTTTTAGTCTTTTAGAAATAAAAATATGGTATTTTTATTATTGAAGTCAAGATATTTAGATCGATTTTGATTTACTTTCAGGATTTCCCTGAGCGAAAAAAGGGTACCTCCTGAAGATAGCCCCTTTACCTTTTCTAGAAATATAAATCATGTGCATTGATTTGAAAAAATTCATACTTTTCTGAGCTCCTCAGCGAGCAACGCATCGCTTAATTCCTTGGCTCTTCCAGGCGCCACAATTCTCCCCCTGTGTGTTGGCGGCTCATCAAATGCTATTCCCTCTAAGCTCGGCATTTGCGTTAAATATTCACAGAAATGGCTGATATTATTGAACGACTGAAGTACAACATTCATAAAACACGTATTTCCAAGATTTCTCAGACCAACGACTTTCTTCTCTTTGGTTATTTTTGATGTACGTCGTTTTGTCACTGGTCGATTATCACCACTTGTCCCATCCAGTGAGTGCAATCTTTTTCTAGTTCGTGGCCTTAAATTTCTTACTACAACTTCAGTCTTCCAAAGTGCATCGGAATCGTCATTATCACCGTTACCACTGTCTAGGTCTGGTGATGCAGATGAACTCCAACTCTCGTCGTTTTCTTTCTGTTCACTTTTACGGAATGTACTCTGTCGGATTTTTTCTATTTGGCCTGTTGATGTGTCGTTAACTACGTATTCATCGCAGGAGTAACTGTTTAGGAATAAAAGTCAACTCGTTAATTTGATTCAACAATTTCACAGTAGTATGCGATGAGAAATGGCTTTAAAAATATTTCTGCAGACTTTGCTCACTTTTTCTAAAATATCTCCAAAATTAAGGGTTGTAGTGCATTTTTTGTGAGAACCTTTCTTGTAGAGCTAATTAAAAACTACGAAAAAGGTCGTTATAGTTCTTTCGCTATTTGCCTTAGGTCCCGAGATATTTGAGGAACAATACCAAAGATATAAGTTACATTCACTGCAGATTTCAGGTAAATAAATTTACAAATATTCTGAAAAATGGTGATAAAAAATCGAGAATAATGTGAAGGCCTTTTATGGAGAATTCCAGGGTCTACAAAGAAATGAGTCACTATTTCTCTCTAAACGGTTTCCCTCTAATATTTCTGAGCAATAATCCTAAAGCTAATTCCCATCGACTCAACAGGATTGAGTAAATTTCAAGGTCACACTGTGAAATTGACATAATAATGACGGTAAGCACTCGTAAAACCTGAGAATCTTAATTGTTCCTCCATTCCAGCAATTATCACTCCAATTATTCCAAAAATGTAACGGTAAAATGAATTAATGAATTAATGATTTGATGATGTGATATTATCTGGCGGTTCTGTTCTGTCAGTGGACCAGGGTAATTGTTTGTTCAACTCACCAGAACACTGCCAGATTCTCGCAGTCAATGCACACACAGTGATGATTATTTTTTTCATGATGCTGTAGGGCATGGCCAGCCACATAACGCCCACAATGTACTGCACCACAGTGCAGGCACAACCATGTACTTTTCTCCGTGCCGCAAACTGTCATTCAATAAAACATTTTTCAATTTCAATCGCAATCTTTCATTAAATTTCATCCAGCAATGTGTACACTCAATGAATAATATGATATACACATTTTTTATTTTGAAAAATAATAAATTAAGGAGTGATAGGCGAGAGGATGCATTCAATAAAACATTTCTCAATTTGTTTAAATCAATTCCAATCTTCTATTGCAAATCATTCTTCAATGTGTATATTTAATAAATAATATAAAATCCCCATTTTAGATTTGTTAAAATAATAATATGTTAATTTAACGAATTATAGGCGAGTGAAAATGACTGAGTAATAAAAATATTTGTTGTAATATCTTGAATTGGTACATTCATTTAAGAATAATATAAACAATTGGAATAATAATAATGTGAACAAATTAACGAGTGATAGGCGAGAGAAATCATTCAATAAAACACTTCTCAATTTGTTTAAATCAATTCCAATCTTCTATTGCAAATCATTCTTCAATGTGTATGTTCAATGAATAATATAAAATACACATTTTAGATTTTTTATAATAATAATTTAACGAATTATAGGCGAGTGCAAATGACTGAGTAATGAAAATATTTGTTGTAATATCTTGAATTGGTACATTCATATAAGAAGAATATGAACAATTGCCCAGATGTTGTCTGTATATTTTATATATTTGTATATTTTTGCCAGATTTTTTCCAAACAATTGTCGTATCCCACTATTTTTATTTTATCAAGAAATAATTTCATGCTGCAATTCAATTCGTTTTTGGAACAAAATTTATGTAACATCTCAGAAAGATTGAGACAATTGTTAACAATTCTGTAGTGAAGTGAAGGTTTTTTCGAAGTATCTTGGAAACTAAAGGAGGAAGCGATATTTCGGTAAGAACCTTTTTCGCAGTTCTCAATTAGCGCCACAGAAAATGTTTCGAGAAAATTTCAATTATCTGCCTTGATTGCGGAGATATTTTTGAAAAATTCACCGAAGAGTTGAGTCAAGTCACCTCTCTTCAGTCCTTTCACTACAGAAATGTTGATTCATTTTATTCTATCGAGTAATTACCACCAATGTGCATTCCAGGGAGGCATCGAAAGAGTGAAAGAAATAGTAATAATACACAACTGAAAGAGCATTGCTTAATGACTCAGTTCTTATTTTAATACTCAATTGAACGCAGAGATATTGTAAAAAATTAAGTGAAATATAATCGACGAGTTAGTTTTTTATATAACTGAAGGAGCAACATCCGAGATAATGTAGAGGATGTGCAGAATGAACGAGTATTGCAGGAAGTATTTAAAAATATTTCTGCAGATAATTATATTCTTTACTATCCTTAAAAAAAAATATTTAAAATTCATATCAGAGGATTTTTTCTAGTGTCTAAACTATTTTCAACAATTTCTATTAAAAAAGAAATCAGAAGACTAATGAATAATTCATTGGAGATTGTGAAGAAATTTTCAAAGAACGATTTCGTTAGTTTAGATAAATCTAGGAAGCCGGAGGTGATGTGGTAATTAATTTATTAAAATTCGTGTAGCAACAATTAACAGTGTCGAAGTTCTTTCTCGGGCCACAGAATGACTATCCGAGCAGAGTCAATTAAAATTTCGAGTCCGTTCAATGATGCGTCATTATTACCGATTTTTTATGTAATTGAAATTTATTCTATGTAAATTAATTCCGAAAAGAGACACACATGAGTGGATATTCAAGAATGAATAATGTATAAATCATCGAATTATTGATAACAAGTGTCCATATGATTTTATTTATTTTTTTTGAATTTTAACTCCATATACAGCCGATTGAGCTTTTTACACATTGAGACTTTGGTAGGTGTGATACAAAAGAGGATAGATATATTCTGAAAGATAAAAATGTCAAAACCTACTTGAGATTGAATGTAAAATAATTTGAATGAATAAATCTAATTTGATGGCGTTTGCAAAGTTAAAGGTAGCTCTGCGATAATTTATTATCTTAAAGCTATTTTCTTGTAATTACGTTCCCACGAAAAATGAAAAATGAACAAAGACATATTCAACGTTTCGATAAAGTCCTACCGCCCCATGAAGACCTGTTTTTTTTTAGCTTTAGCTGGGTTTGAGCTTAAAGGGAACCATCCAGGCTTTGAATAGTGTCTGCAATGGTTTATTCATAAAGTTGCTATTGCGAACCCTCCAGAAACCAGGTAAAAATCGATAATTTCATTCAATCCTTCTATTCCCATTCTGTCGTAAAAGTTGATGGCCTTTGTTGCAACAAAAAATACCAAATTCCCGGGGCGATCTATCAAGAACTGAATAGTGGTGCCACCTTCAAGAGGATAGATCGAAAGCCTCTCGCTCCACGTGTACACAGATGACTCCTTCTCAATTATTTTTATTTAATCCAAACTGATTATTTTTTCCCCCATTTTTGTATAATACTTCATCTAAAATTCCATTCGGTCGAGTGTGTTGCTGAGATTGCGGGAAATAAAAGACGCGGAATTGAATTTCGGATGATTCAGTCTTACGTAAACGCCTCGACGAGTGAAAGAGATTGAAAAAACAATCAAAGTTGGAATTAATAGGGAAATAAATTACTGGTCATATTAGGGTTTTCAGTTTTAGTTTTATGCTTTACACTGTTCGGATCAATTGAAGAGAGAGTGGGGGAGGACTTGAAGTATGAGTCATACTGAAGTTTAATAACAAACGGCATTACTGGAGGTTTTAGGAACGAAGGGCCGCTATTTTGCAAGTTTTGTGTTGTGGCAAGTTCCAGGAAGGGTCAATGCCATTTTCGATATTCGTTTGTCATGGATTTTCTGGAGTACATGGTGGATTTCGAGGAAATGATAGAGGGTATCGATGGATACTTGTAGGTCCAGGCAGGATGGCATTTGTGGGAAAGTAGCGGAGGATGACAAGTAGATTCTTGCGAGAATCTTGACAGCCAGTCGATGGCATGGAAAATGCAGCGAATTTCTCTTGGCGAAAATCTTGTGACACAAGGAAAAATAGGTTCATCGAAAAATCTGTAAAATATATGTATAATTGGAGATAATTCTTTAAACTTCTTTTGATTTTACTTTATATAATTCCAGGATTTAAGGGTTTTTTTATATCTCACAAAATTAAACAGAAATTTCTTTACCGTTTAATTTCGATCGCGCTCATTCATTAAGGAATTAATTGAATTTTATTAATACTCCCTAAAGTTGTATGGACGCTCCCAAAAATTCGGAAGAAAAGGTTTGCAGAAATGTTTGCATAATTGCGAAAGTTGTTGAGTAATAAAAAAAAATGAAGAATTAAAAATAATAAATTGAAAAAAGGGTAAATTTCCTTTCTGTCAAACACTGGCAAAAATAAAAAAAAATGATGAAAAGACAGCAGCACTTCCCCAAATGCTTCTGAAGGTTTGTATCATTGGTCGTTCCTCCTTCTACCCAACAATAATCAAATTTTCCCGAAAATCGCAACAACAACCCTCAGTACGATCAATAATTCCCTTTCCCTCTCGTACCCTCGTGCGTAAAAACCTACCGCTGGTGTTGCGAAGTTCCCTTGGGCGTAAGTATAGTCTCGAGGTCGGACAAAGAGAGAAAAGCAAAAAAAATCAGAAGTAAGAGAGTATAAAAAAAAAAAAACAGGGACGAGAAGAGAAAAAGTGACTCTCCCGGCCGGGAGTCATGAGGGGAAGGTCCGGGAAACGCGTACACATAAAAGGACGGGGAAAGGGGACAGCTCCAAGAGGACTTTTGTCTTTTTTTCCCCAGTGTGTAAAGTGTGCATGGCGTAACGAGTCTCGCATCGATTTTTATGGTACCCCCCAAGGGAAAAGGCGGTGGGTGGGGAGTGAAGTGGGTGGTTTTGACAAAATCGAGAGGAAAAAATGGAAAAAGAGTCACGTCAAAATGTCAGTAAATGAAAATCAAAGACTTCTCTTGTTTCATCAACTGTCAAATGGCACGTTATGTCACGTATTCTCATAGCTGCCAGCTGATTAGTAACGTCTGGTATTGATTTTAGGAATGAAAAGTACGGTGGCGCGCCAGCGCGGTGTATTAATGGGATATTAAAATGTCCTTTAGTAATTAGAGGGGAGAAAAAATGAAGGATGGAGAAAATATGGAAATTTTGAGACTCGAGGTGTGTGTGGAGGATGTTTGGTGAAAGGAACGGTTGGATTTGGAGGAGTCAGTTATCCAGGAAGACAACTTGATCAGCAATTTCTTGGGAGATCGAAGGAATGAAAAATCATGCCCTACGGCTTCCGGCACGAAGGACTTCTACGATCCGTGAAACTTGGCTTCTCTCTCGCTGGTTGGTTGAACGATGGAAAAAGGAGAAGGTGCACGGGTTGCCTCCATCCAAGGCCAAAAGAGGAACGGCCTGTGGTGGAGTCTTTAACGGAGTGAATAAGAAAGAACAGAACACAGTACCCCATACCACCAGCATCAAACATCCAGCATAATCCAATAGTCTCGATAATTCTCTAAAATATCAGCTACATATTGTTTTTTTAATTTCGTTCATGAAACAAAAATTCCACCTCTTCGATAATAAAATCGTACCTGCGCAGACGAATGGCAGTTCCTTGCCTCCGTAATTTGGCTCTACATCGTCTCCTCCAAGCCGGACACTCTGGGCTAGATGAGGGCACTCCATTTCTCCTTGTAAATTAATAATAATGATATTTTGAAGAAAAAAAAATAAGAGAAATAAACTCCCGGGGCTGTCGTCCGTGTGATTGAAGCGTAGAAAAATATCAGAGGCGCACACACAAAAATGTAAAGGTCCTCTGGAACGTGTGTGCGCCCACCAAACGATTCTCTCTCACTTCTCCCTCGAGTGTTCTCACAATTATTGGTGGGATGATTAGGGTGGTGTAATGAATTTATTTATTGGGTTTTGGTATGATCCGTGGGGTACGCGCACACTGGGTGCCCCGTAATATCTGTCACATAGCAAAATGCGGGGGCAACACTGGATTCGCCTACAAAGGAAGGGACGCGAACAAGGGGGGATTGTTAAACTCAGTGCGCAGCAGCACTAGACGGTATTATTTGTACTTTCCTTCGGCTTTGTTAAACACAACACTAAAATCATACACTTGGCTCTAGTTCGAAATGACTATTGATTAGCAAAAATCGGGAATGTTGTAATTTCAGGGATTTTTCTTTCAGATATTATTTTTTCGTGGAGGGTTATTGTTTTTTAGTTGGATCACCCGATGTTTATGTGGCTTTCGTGGTTAATGGGGGTTTGATCGGTGATTAACTGTCGTTAGTGTCTTTGGATCGCTAGAATCGGTACTGAACGATCTAATTGCACAGCAAGTCGAGAGCTCCGATCATCATCCTCGGGTTGGACTGGGTTCACTGGAGAATTCTTTGGGCTAGGAGCTCTCGATGTAGTGTATCGATATGAATGACTATCGATATGAGTGATTATCGATTGTTTTTGGTACTCGATAATCGAATGACTCCTTCGAGATGGTTTTCGAACGATATTTTTTGAGTGGTGTCGATAGTTGTGGAGAAGTGGTGGGAAAATTGTGGACGGGTGAACATTGTTGTGTTCAATTGTTTATTGCAAAAAGGAATTGACATTTTTTAATAAAAGGGGAATTTTAAGGGGAAGACTGTTGAAAGTTTACTTTTTTCACGAGAATTGAACAAAATTTTACGATACCTGTAAGAGCAAAAAATTTTAAAAATATCGGTATTTACCGTATCGATGTTCATCGAAGCGATCCATCGTTATATCGATATTAACCAGTTCGATTGGATACCACGCTAAGTATCGATATTTTTCGACTATCGAAAAAACAGTAGTTCGGAGTGCTAGGTCAGTTTAATCGTGCGCATGCGTAAGGGGTGGGGAAAAGTTATGTGAAGCTAGTTGAGAAAGGACAGGGCCGCAGGTTGAAGGACAGGGGCCCCAGTTCAGGGGTGATCTGGTAAAAACCTTAAATGTCTACTCATCTCTACAGTGAGTTTCTAACGAATACCACCGAAACTAAGAGAGCTGGCGAATTTATTTAATAATCTTTGTTTCAGCTCAATTAGTTCTATAAAAAAAAGAAATTAATTTATCGATAGCTTCTATAGATGTCGAAATTTCTATTTAAAAATGGGCAATAGGCAAAACTAATGCTTCGCTATTGAATTCTTCCTTTGATCCAATTGTCTTTTGGGAAGAATGAAATTATAAATATTCAATTAAGCGTTTTGCTTTCTTCGGCAGTTGAAATAGATAATTAATTGTTATAATACGACGAATTTTGTGCCAAAGCAATGAAATGGTCACTCAAATAAATTCTAAAATCATTCAACAACAAATTTTCTAAACTTTTTTCAACTGCTCGAAAGAATGGAATTGTAGATATTATAATTATATATTCTAAATAATTTATCATATAATAGAAAATTGACTTAAATCTTGATTTCTCACTAGAATAAAACGATTTCCAAGTGGAAAATTCAATTTGTCTCCTAGTTAAGGAACAAGAGCTATTATAAACATTTCGGAAAAAATGCCGTTATCTCTCTTGAATAATTAAATCGATTCATTACTCCTCACTTTTTCGCTGCTCAATTGCGATTTTTAACAGGCCGAAAAGGCGGGAAGGATGTGGGGTAAAAGGAGACGATGATTTTTCCAACTGAAAGGTTTTAATGGGAATTCCGTCGAATACCTGATGGTTTTATTGGAAAGAGATGTGGAACTGACACGTGTGTTTTTCCTATTTAAAAGGTTTATTTTTATTTAATAGAACACTCAGTTTCGCCTGTTGAACTGGTGGGTAGCTGGCTGGACAAGTTGGAGAACAGAGATGTTGCTGAACTCCAACATCTTGAGCATCTCCTTGGTCTCGGAGTCGACCTCGATGACGTCGTGCTCAAGAGCAGATACTTCGGGTACGTAGTTGTCCCTACGTTCTCTCTCCTCTTCTTGGAGCTTGATGGAAATACCACGGACTTGACTGTGACGGAGACGCTTCATCAAGTGCGTGACAAACCTAATTAACAATTAATTCGTAAGATAGAAACACGTGAAGAACAATTAGGTGGAAAGATAAGTTGAAGTATATGAAGCTGAAACTAACAAATTATTCACAAGCAGAAGATTTAACTCAACACATTATTACATATCTGAGAATCTAATAATAATTGAACTAACTAAATTGTAAAAGATTTTGTAAAACATATCGTGCATAACTTGGAAATATTTGTATTTTCGGGCTTCAACTTGATTTAAAATACGAAAAGTCTCTAATTCAAATTTCTCAATATTTAATTTTAACAATGAACAAATTTTTTAAGTTTTGTGGAGATTTTTCCTTGTAGATTTAGCAAATTCAATCTATAATACTAAAAACATTGGGTGCGTAACTTGCATTTTAAGATTCTCCATGGGGAGATGCGAGTTCTTCAATAATTATTACGAAATCAATAAAATGGGTTGACCGAAAAACAATCTATTCTACAGGTAAATGAAGTGATTCAAATCACAATTCAAATCGATCAATTCAAATAAAATTAAACTAAAGTACAAATGTCCCCACAGAAACTATGAACATCCCCTCGAATCCTCATGAACGACTGAACTGTTATCTCAATTGATTCACCGATTAGAACAATGTAAAAAGTGAATTTATTATTTTTTGTTGTTTCCCATTACTCCACTGACTGTTTTGAACATGAGTTCTAGGGTTTTTTTTAGCTTCAAAAATACGTATCAATTTTTTTCCAATCTTCCTGTAAAACTCTCACCTTACTCTTGAACAATGTTGTTGTCAATAAATTGTCAATAAATTATTGTAAACGGAGACATTGAAGGTTCAAGGATACAGTGAAAATACTTCTTGTGTGTAGAGAAAAGAAAAAGGAGGGTTGCGAGAACATAACCTCAAAATTTTGATGCCCATTGTCACTTTTCGAAAAGAATATAATTTTCTTTGAGCGCTTACCCAGCAATTTTGTTCTTGAGGGGTTTGCTAGGAATAATAGCTATTTCCTCGCATATTCTCTTGTTAGTGTCGAAATCAAGAGTCAATCGAGTGTAGTACTTCTCGATGATGACCCTGGCGGCCTTCTTGATCGTCTTGGTCCTGACACGACCCTAAAACAGGAAAAATTCACATAAATAAAAAGACAACTCACCAGATGATCAAAACTAATCCTCAAACATGATTTCTCGCGTTTAATGTTCGACCATTTTTCAATGAGAAAGTTTTTTTGTTCTTCCAAATAGAAATTTTCGGTATCAACACAAAACTACACAACAATTTTGAAATCCCAATATATCCACAAAAATGGCAAAGAACCCTTCAATATATGTTTCAAAAAGTCATGTGTAATCTCTGCCATCGAGTGCTAGTTATAATTAAATAATTTATGAAGGGATTCCTTTGTGAAAAGCAGATTATTTTTGAGAAATGTCAAATTATAATACACACCATGTTTGCTGGTGTACCGGAAAAGGCACGGACGAAACTGGAAGAGAAACACTACCGCTTCCGCATAATAGTGGTCGCTTTCAGAATTAATTACTACCCTTTAGAGAAGAAATCTACCCCATCAACTGCTGTGGTAATTCCACAAGATACTCCTCATCAACGTCAGTGAGATGTCGCCATTATGATATTCATCGCTCTGCAGCAATAAACATTTCCTCGTTTCATTATAATTTTTTGAATGAAAAATAATTTCCACTTAATTTGTCAACTATTTGAAATTTATTTTATGAGGATAGAATCGAATTAACGACTTTGCACTTGGTTTCTTTTTCATAATAACAATTATTGACAAAAGTCATTTGAGAATAAATCATAAACCTATATATTTATTTTTCTATGTATTGAAATTTTACAACATAGCTTTCTTTATTTCGTAGGAATTATTATTATTATTTGTTACATAAAGATTATTGTTTTACTGTCACTTAATTTGTTTTTTTATTAAAGGGTTAAAGAGAGTAGATTTTGAAGATCAATAGATTATTATAATTGAAAGTATATAATAGTATATAAAGTAACCCGGAGTTAAATCGACGTTAAACTAAATATTTTTAGGGAATCAATGAAAAAAATATTCTACAGAGGCTGCACTAGGTGTAATCCGAATAGACAGAAGACGAATTGCATATTAATTTTAATCGAATGTATTCGATTAAAATCATTGATGATTATAAACTTTATCGATTGATGATTATAAACTTTATTTACTATTTTAATCGCTCACCAAATTTTAATTAGTTTATTCGCACAGATTTTCTTAAAAATACTTTTGTTACAACCACCTGTATGCGGTGCTTGACTTTTATTCTCTTATTTGCTTGGCATTCATGATCACTTGAATAAAAATACTTCATCATGATATATATAACAGAAAGGACTGGTTAAATTATGGGTAACTCAAATGTGTTTGCAGGATGAACAAAAAATTATTCCCCGGAAAGACCTACTGGGACTTTTCTGGGACTTGGATCGTGTCCAGTTCGGGAAATTCTCAGTTAAACATTGACATAGATGAAAATTGCTCATTGCGTTTTAATTTTGATAGGGGGTTCATGGAATTTATATTACCAAATCCATGAAGTTTTGATGCACCATGACTACCTGCCAATAATACCGCCAATTATGAAACGATTCCATCAAACCCAGTTAGCTATTCAGCTCGTAGATTAATTCGATTCAATGCAATCGTTATGAGCTAATTGGGGCTTAAGCCATTTTTTTTCATCGAGCTCGTTGCAACCGGCCCGATCAAATATTTATTCAATATCCATGACCGAACAGCTGAACGAAAGTAGTTTACGACTAATTTTTTAAATTGTTGAATTGTTGAAAAATATTATCTCAAGCAGGAATTTATTCTGATAATTTGTTCGGCTCATGTGACCTTGTGCAACCACCCCTTACTAATAATTTAAAATAATTAGGTAATTGTCTAATACTTGAAGAGTACGACAGGACAATAGAATTTCCATTACAGTGGCAGGAATCTGTAGAACCCGGTTCTGAAAAAAATATCAATTTACGCTTATTCATTTTTACTGAGAACTGATAATAGTAATCGCTTTGAAAGTTAGTTCTACTTAAAATTTTATTTTTATATCGCCCTGCCATTGAAGACCATAAAATATGGGACGTGATTTTTTAAATAACTGGAGCATTGGAATGAATAAAAATGTACTTTTTATTATATCGGCAAAATTGCACTATTACGTTTATCACCGCGATTGTTAAACAATAGTTAAAAAAAGACAGACACACGAGTACGTACGATAAAAATTATCAAGAAATTCCATTCTGTTTCATCCTGTTTTGAGCGGAATCTGATTATAGGAATATTTCAGAGAAATGGACTAGAGGGAATCGGATTTTTTATTACGAGTTTTTGAGAGGAGTCAAGAAAAATAATCACTCGCGTCGAGGGTTAGATAAAGTCAATTTAATAACTAATTTTTAGCAGCTTGGTCACCGGTGCTGAAACTTCAATAGGCTAAACATTAATTAAACTTATTAAGAGCTGATGAAAAAATACAGAGAAGTTCAAAAGACGTTTGAGCACAGCAGAAGAAAAGGAGGAAGCGAAAAAACTGATATGCGTTTGAGGGTCTATATGACGATGAGAATGAGTGGTCACAAGGTGGCAGATGCCCCTAATTGGGGCTCACATGTCCTAAATCAGGGAAATTAAAGCGGATTGATGATTGTATTAAGCACGTGCGTATGCAAAGCATGTGATTGCGTGCTGAGCGTGGAAATTATGAGAAATCCTTCGGTTAAAAATCGAACACTATTCCATCGGGCAAAATTCTACTCGTCACGTATCACTATTATTGTTACTGAATAATTGATGAAGTTGCAAAAATTAAAAAAATGATTACACAAAATCTTATTGGGTAAATTCTAAAAGAAATTAATGGCAGGGGTAGAATTGTAATTTTCATATGGCGTCATTGTTATTAGATAATAACTAAAAAAAATCCGAACCCAAAAAACTTCAGATAAAAAAAATATTGTCTAAATTGCCAAAGAAATTTTATTTTTTAACACAAGTGACCATTATTATTAATCAACGGTTTAAACAATGTCGAATTGAGAGTACATTCAAAGAATACCTAATTGAATAAATAAATAAATGAAATAACATATGTATTAAAGAAAAATTCAATAATGAAACAATTAAACAAAAAATGAAAATAATAAAATTTGCACTACCTGCATTAATTTATCTTCCTACCTAAACTGCCAAAGAAATTCCATTCCACCCATTCCCAAAAATTTTTCTGATAACACATCCAGATCATTATCAACTAGTAGTTTACAAAATTTCAAACCCGATAAACAAACCTCTCCATTCTTCTCCACCTAAAAATTCCCTCCACACAATACTATTAACCCGAGTCGAAAGAATAAAAAAAATTGCGAAAATTGGAAAAAATAGGGGTGCTTCCACCCCATGTTGAAAATCCAACTACTCACATGTGGCGCATGCGCCCAGCGTGGAGCGCCTGCGCACCCCATGCCACACGCAACGCTCCACGCGAAATGTCGATCCAATCCATTCGGTCAAAACACGCGTTTTAATCAGTGAAATTTTGGGTTAAAAATACGTTAAACGGCCTCAAAAAAAGCGATAACCTGACTGGTCCAATGAGTTTCCCCCCGAAAAATTTCGATGGATAAGAAAGATACGGAGGGAGAAATTGGGCGATGCCGAGCAAATGGGGCAAGTGGGGCAAGTGGTACAAGTGGGGGATTTCCGTGGCGACGGCGTTGGGACGTGGGAGGGAGTCTGACTGGTGGAATAGAAGGGAAATAGCGTGGGATCTGCGGGCCAACAGTCGGGATAAATGTGGAGAGGGGGAGTACCGAGTAAAAGAGGTTTGTTTATAGTTGATGGTGAAGGAGTCAGTCAGTGCGGTGCTTTCGTCCGTGTACGGTAGGACGAGCGCTCGCTCCTTTCTTTCATTTTTACCCACGGACCAAAAAAAAAAAAAGAGCATCTCGGCTCAAAACACTATCGCCCTCAAAACGCGTGTTGCATCTCAAACGTCAAGTTGATATAGTTTCTTGAATATTTTTTTTTTTCAAATCCAAGTGTCGATCTAGTGAAATACCAATCGCGAATAAATATCGTAAACGTGTAAAATGTTGAAATTCTGATTTTTGTGTCGGGTCGCCGGTGTTAACCTCTCGAGGGTCAAACGAGATGGGTGATGGTAATGTGACGATAGTGAATTATTAAACTCCGAGATCAGTTCTGGTGTACGCACACCAGGATATCGTCTTTTATGGACTTTAAATTGGGGAAAATTAACGACCTGTCGTGTATTTCGGTAAGTAGGAGTAATTGGTGTGTAGTAAATGTCGGGGGAATGTGATTGAGGGTAATGAGGAGTTTGTGGTGGTTTGGGTTACCATAGGTTAGGCGATTTTTCTCAGTGGAATTTTTCTACTTTTGTTTTTATGGTTCTGCGATGGTGAGTGTTTTTTAATGCAATGGAAAAGGGAAATTGATGGCATTTACTGGGGTTAGGGTACGTGATAGACGTATGGTTGACGGGACAGATGGGTCACTGCACTATGAGGCTGGCCTCCACTTAACTTGGACCATTCTCTTTGCGTGTTAATATCCTTTCTGGGTAATAGTGTTGGGTGTGTGAAAATGGTGTCCGCAACTATGTCAACCGGCTTTTTATATTATTTTTTCTTTGCTCACTTTGCTAGACTGATGTTGCGGAGATATTGCAGCGGGATTACCCTGGATGGGTTGCGTCACAATCAGACGGTGCGTTGAGTTTGATCTTGAGGTTGTTTTGCAGTTCTTAAGAGATTTTTTTTTTCTGGTATCGCCGGATGAGGAGAATATTCAACCGAGGAAAATGGTAATTCCGGGATTGTTGTTGTGAATACATTTGGTTGAGGTATCGGAACACGGGAGGATAATAAATCAATCGATTGTGGGGGAATTGGTGAGTAGCAGGAAATCTCGGAATCAAAACAGTGGTTTCCAGTGAGGTTTGTTTTGGTTTATATTGTTGAGTGTTTCATGGAGGTTTTGATAGGCAATTCCGTTGGGTTCATATCACACGAGACTGATTTCGGATAGTAGCAATAATATTCTATGTGATGACAGTAATTCGTTGTTTCACAGAATTCCAATCGCTTTGTTATACAGAGATTAATTTTTCAAATACACAATAATACGGGATTTATTCTTTTCTTTTTGGTGATTATTTAGATAATTGTCCAACTGTGGGAATCGTTCCCCTTTTTTTTTTAGCAAGACTCGATTGTTTCTTGGGGTATTTTTGGAAGCCGTAGACAATCGGTGCATAAATGAGGGTTTTTGTGGGAAATTAAATTCGGCTGGGAGGTGACACCAGTTGCATTCATTTATAAGTAATGATCCTCAAGATATCACTGGGAATATAAGGCAAGGTTCAAATCTTATAATTTTTAAAGATTCTGTTGGTTTCATTCGATACGGTCTATATTTTTAGAGATAGATTTGTTCTTCTGATTAGTGCATTTAATTGACATTTTCTCGGTTCGAAAATTAGGGAAGGTTCAATGTTATAATTAGCGTATATAAAATGCTTCGCTAAATATCAAAATTTGATTGGTCTCAAACGTTCTTGATATTTTCGACGCAGAAATTGGGAAATGTTGAAGTTGAATTATATTTACGAGTACGTTAATATAATATTGCATTCGGTTTGGGAGAAAAACTTGAATATTATTGACAGTCTGACAGATGACAGGAAAAATGCAGGTATATTACGTAATTAAAAGAGACGTGTACCCGAGGATTTCTCGATTTAGTAAAAATTTTCAATTCACCGTAAATATTCATACCATAATTGCATTGATTTTTCAATAAAATCTGAAAATTCAGCACTAACAAAAATAAACCATAAAAATTCGATAAAATTTAACATGATAATGAACTGAAATGTGGTTCATAAAATTTCCACGAAATTGTAACCTGATTTTTTGTCGAATTTATCGCTTCCACAATCGGTGAGCCAATTGCGGGTTCCGCAATTATTATAAATTATTTCTCTACCTCAAATTACATTCAGTGTCACTGTCCTCAAAATTCAAGAGTATATATTTACCGAAATATTCTGGTTCCTATGAAATTTCGGGAAAAAGTGAAACGGAAATTTACAGTTCACTTTACAGTCATCCTTACGGTGTTCAGTTAAAAAAAAATCAAAATATAAACATCACGAATTATTCTTCCCACAATTTATGACCAGAAACATATTTTCTGATTTTGTTATTATGAATAATGGACGAATGATTAATTTCTTGAATATTCAAGTAATTGAGGCCCGCATATGGTTCTGACATTTCGAAAAAATGTAGAACATTGAATTGCAATTAAATTTTAATTTTTCCACTGTCCCTGAAAATTCAAACTTCCATTAAATAATCGATTATCATAAAACACGAGACCCCCAATTCTTTCGAATTATCAAGAAAAATCAAGAATTTAGCTTTTCAATTGAAAATTTCTCGAATTAAGTTGGAAAAAAGGGGAAAATTGAGCAGCAATTTAGTAAGTGAAATTTTCATTGTTCCTCGTAGCTATTGCAACACGTGTTGATTCGGTTGAAGATTGCTCAGCCCCTCGGCACCGCCGAGTGAGGGATTATATTCCCGCGAGAAGAGAGGGGACGAGAAATAATGACCCAAGGTGAATTTAAACGATTGAAATATAAACGTTGCTGAATGGATTGTTCAGAGGCTAGTGGGGAGGTTGAACTGGTGAATAAGCAGATACAAATAAGACTAGACGCGAATGTTGGTCGCTTTCGCACTCGACCTCGTCTCGCCCATTTACTCTCTCGCTCCATCACCTACCGTTTCTCTCGGATTCCTTATATTTCACTTGTGTCTCGATAATGTTGTCTTATTCTCACCATCGTCCCTCTCTCTTACGTGTCAGCTGACACCCTCCGCGACTTTCACCTTCTCCGTCGGGGCCGACAGTGAATTAAAAGAAGAGCCAAGTATATTTTTCTTTTTATTTTTTTATTTATTTATTCTATTTTTTATGTGTACTCTATCGATAATTCCCCCGTCGAGCATTGAAATTAAATGCGGATATGACGCTTGGACTGATGATTAAGTACTAAAAATAATTTTATTATTCATGACGGACAGACGTGGAGGGACAGATTAATTGCGTGGAATTTCGCGTGATGTTTTTTTTCATTGGGAATTGAATCACGGGTTGAATCGTATCTGGGGTTTCGTGTTGGCGAACTGTAATCCTATGAACTCATTTCGTAATCGGTATTTTCTTTCGGAATTCTTTTCCTTTTCAAAAAGTCGATTTATTTCTTTATATTTATGGTCTTGAGTATTATTAACAGGGAGTTAGTCCCTCTCAGATGAGTAATTCCAAGTTGTGAATTTCAGATGCTTCGTGTAATCAAAATGTAAATACCAATAATGATGGAATGGCCGTTGATTTTCTATTCATGATTTACCTGGGGAGAGGAGTGATGGATTTTTTTTTTCAATGGTAATGACTTGGGATTACGCTTTTGCATTTTTTTATTCAAGCTTTGGAATGAGAACAGTTTTACTTGAATTTTATCGTGTGATAAGCAGAATTTTTTCATTCAAGACAGTTTGGCTGACCAAGTACCTCCAATAAAAACAAATATTACTTTTTTCGAATAAATTTTCTAATTACAAATACATATTCTTAGACTTTGATTTTTCATTTGTGCTAAATTATTATTTTTCCTCTGGGTTGGGCCTCGGTTGGTGATTTGAATGACGAAATTGCATTTGAAAGTATCGGTTCTTCTGTTTTTTAATATTACGCGAGGTCAATTGCAATTACGCAGTGACATCGTGTGTCAATTGAAGTTATTATTTAATTTATCTTCAAAATGACGGAAATCAAGCCCGCAGTCAACTCTGAAATTACATAAGTTGATTATTCATTTAGAGCCTTACGAAACCTGAAGATTCATACAGCTCAATGTTTAAAAATTACTCGTCAAATTTCAACTAAAAAGACGTGAAGTTTTTAACAATTCTTCATTGACGAACAATTTATAGCTTGAATATTTTCTTTATTTTCCATTTTCAGATCGATATGACATGGAAAAACCGTAAAAATATTGAAAATTCAAGTAATAATTTCCCTGAATTTCCTCAATGAGCATGAAAATTCAAGGTTTCATTGAAAAATCAATTATCCATTACTTAAAATGTTAAATCGCATTTCCTGGAATTTTTAAGATATGCGAATCATTTAGTGGACTTAAAAAATTGAAATTTAATTGGAACTTGTATAATTGACAATTTAGACGAGTGACTGAAATATGCAAACATGTTCAACATTTCAAATTGTCAATAAAATTGATTTAATTTCTTTTTTATCAATACCAAAATTTGATTAAAAATGGTATTATCCATGAAAATCCACATCCTCTACTAGTTTCATCAGAATTTTTGGGTAGGCATAATTTTCATGCGTTCAATTTATTGCAACACTGTGGAATCTCTATAAAAGAAAAATAATGGTTGCGGTATTCATCAACCGTCATCGACCCACTGTCGGGCACTCAATTTAATGTGCGTCATGCGAAGGGAACAATAAAACTACAATCCACCGGATAGAACGTCAAGGTTTTTTCCTCAATCCCATATTGAGAGTTGACGTTCATGTAATAGTCACTGGTGCATTGTATTCTTCTTCTCGCGTTCTATTTCCTTCAATTTCTAGAATATTCTTTTTTCTTTATTTAATTATTTTATTTCACATCAATCGGAGTATTTGAAAAACTTCTGGTACGCTCGTTCCAAGTTAAGTCCTGTTGATGTGAAATGACATTTCTGGGGCATGGGAAATAAAAAAAAAAATATATATATATAGAAGAGTGCAGCAAATAGTTATTGGGGAAAAATTCTCCTTCATTTTTCCCTCGATAACGTAATTAACCAGTTTCCTTAGTGAATTTTCATTTTGTTTTTTAATTAATATAATTGTTATTGGCGGGTAACTAATGTGATGTCAGATTATTTATCTGCAGTCAAATGATAGTGAAGAAATTGAAATAAAACGGGGGATAAATAAAATACTAGGAAGTGTCCGGAAAATAATTTCTTGGCAGTGGATGAAATGATGTTTTAACGAGACGTCATTCTTTCAAGAGCAATTATAGAAGTTGAAATGCAATTGTGATCGTTCGAGTGAAATTTTGTTTTGTCTGAGGTTCAATCTATTGGAGGGAATAACAGCCGAGGAATAAAAACATTAAGCCTGGTAGGAAGAATAAAAAAAGTGAATCGCGCAAATGTCTTGGTGGCACGAAAGCTCAATGTCTCGGCATTTATTCGACGTATTATTTCACTATTGTTTCAGACTTGTACTTGTATTTTGTGGTTTTCCAGGATTTATGGAAGTGAAGAATTTCATGTGGCGGATGAATTTGATATGTTGAATAAATCGTTGCGAGGTTGAATTATTCTCTTTTTGAAGTGGATTGATGGAATTATTGCTGCCTGGGGCTCGGCTTCTATTTTGAAATGTTGGGTATTCGACGGACTGGTACAACTTTATTTTTGACAATACAAATGGTACAAGTGAATATATTTACGCTTTATATTAGCACTGATTGAATTGTCATGAAATATCACTTACAATGTCATGTCTATTTTCAATTACTCGAGTTTGGATTCAATTTCAGATGAAAACGTCGAAATTTTCTATCCAAATACTCTTTTCCGAGTTAAACGTGCGTTCTTTTTTCAATGAAAACTCCGATCTTCAGACTTTAAACATTTTTAAAACTGAAGATTGAATACAATGCAATTGCTAATAAAAAATTTGTAAAACTCATTCCAAAATTTGACTGATTCTTCAGTGCAGAATTCTGTGGGAATTTTGTGTTACTTTGTCATTCTTAAAAATCTCAAGTTCAATTTTCTAACAGTAAGGCCATAAAACTTTCGTAAATTGTTAGTAAAATATCAACAAAATTGGATAAAGTTTTTCAATTGAATATTGCTAAATTGAAGTGAAATGTGCAGTGTTTCAGACACCAGCATAATGGCATCAGAGGGAATTCAAAAGTAACTGTTCATGT